ATCCTGTTATCGTCACTACCACCATCCTGTTATCGTCTACCACCAACCTGTTATCATCACTACCACCATCCTGTTATCGTCACTACCACCATCCTGTTATCGTCACTACCACCATCCTGTTATCATCACTACCACCATCCTGTTATCATCACTACCACCATCCTGTTATCGTCACTACCACCATCCTGTTATCATCACTACCACCATCCTGTTATCATCACTACCACCATCCTGTTATCGTCACTACCACCATCCTGTTATCGTCACTACCACCATCCTGTTATCATACCACCATCCTGTTATCATCCTACCACCATCCTGTTATCGTCACTACCACCATCCTGTTATCGTCACTACCACCATCCTGTTATCATCACTACCACCATCCTGTTATCGTCACTACCACCATCTTGTTATCGTCACTACCACCATCCTGTTATCATCACTACCACCATCTTGTTATCGTCACTACCACCATCCTGTTATCATCACTACCACCATCCTGTTATCATCACTACCACCATCCTGTTATCGTCACTACCACCATCCTGTTATCGTCACTACCACCATCCTGTTATCATCACTACCACCATCCTGTTATCGTCACTACCACCATCCTGTTATCGTCACTACCACCATCCTGTTATCATCACTACCACCATCCTGTTATCGTCACTACCACCATCTTGTTATCGTCACTACCCATCCTGTTATCATCACTACCACCATCCTGTTATCATCACTACCACCATCTTGTTATCGTCACTACCACCATCCTGTTATCGTCACTACCACCATCCTGTTATCGTCACTACCACCATCCTGTTATCGTCACTACCACCATCCGTATCGTCTTCACCACCATCCTGTTATCATCACTACCACCATCCTGTTATCGTCACTACCACCATCCTGTTATCATCACTACCACCATCCTGTTATCATCACTACCACCATCCTGTTATCATCACTACCACCATCCTGTTATCGTCACTACCACCATCTTTACCTGCTGGTGTTGAGTGATATGTTATCTCATCTCTCTGAGTTATTGATGTAAAAATATAATGATATCAGTTCTTTTCTCACTTTATGACGTAATAGAGAGGAATATGGGGTTGATTTTTCATGGTCTGTTTATAATAAGAATAAGAAAAGTGTTAATAGCAGTCTTATTGTTAATATTTACATTATTATTATTATTATTAGTAGTAGTAGTAGTAGTAGTAGTAGTAGTAGTATTGTTGTTGCGAAAGACATTATCAGCTCCTATGTTCATAACTAGCCCAGGTACTTTATAGGTAGATAAAGTTTACATAATATAATCAGGTAAGGACAAGTGTCAGGTAAGAGTTGATCAGGTACTGTACATGTCCTTCACTACAGACAGGTAAGGTATAAATAAACACTCTTGTGCCCAGACGACCTAAGACTGTGGTGTTTCTCTCTTCAATGCCTTGCTTACTTTGAGTCTATATATATATATATATATATATATATATATATATATATATATATATATACTCTTATACGGAAGGCGTGACACTTAACCCGACACTGCCTCCTCCTCCCCCCGTATCAACACCTCAATTTAACATCTAGTGACACGTGTCGTCTCCTTCCCTCACCTGTCTCGTCTCCTCACTTGCCTCGTCTCCTCTCACCTTACCCAGCGCTCTCCCTGATAATATTGGTATGTGTTAATTACCTGTAAATGAATCCCAGTTAACATTTAATTCGATGTTGCTAAATTTGATGTTAATTTATAGTGTTAATGTTAGTTTTATTTAATTTGATGTTACAGTAGTGGTAAATTATTATTGTTTGTTTATGTTAATGGTAAGTTTGGTTCACCTGAAGAATCACCACACCACACCACACCACTCCACACCACACCACGCCCCCACACCACATCACGCCCCCACACCACCGCCCTCACACCACACCGCCCCACACACACACCGCCCCATACCCACACCACGCCCCCACACCACATCACGCCCCCACACCACACAGACTCCCAAAATAGACACTATCTCAACCTCACACAAAAAACACACCATTGACCCCGTGACTGTGATATTGATAAAGTGATAGCGTTGCTTACATGTCTCAGTGTACAGTAATTAAAAGTTTATGTAACCTGTCAGTCTGTAGATGTGCCCATTGGTCATATAATGATGTGTGGTATAACAATAGTGCGTTTATTTCCTCCACTGATCTGTGACTTACCTGTCCATACTGTAATTAACATTTGCATCATGTAAGGGAGGGGATGAATGGGGGTGGGGAGTGTGGTGAGAGGGTATGAGTGGGGTGAGAGGTGAGAGGGTTGTTATGTATTAGATAGTAACCACTTCACCCCCACAAGGTCATCACACTTTTACTTTTTTTAATTTATCGATCTGTAAACCTTCGTGTGTGTGTGTGAGACGAGACACAGGTGTTAAATTACCACAGATAATCAATCACAGATACACTTGACCTCACCCCTGACACCTCCCTGACACCTTCCCCCCCTGACACCTCCCCCTGACACATCCACCCTGTTTTGTAACCCAACCCAACCTAAGAATCTTTGTGTATCCATCTCTGTGTTAGACTAAGTTAACTTGGGTCGCATAAGATTATGTAATACAGAATGCGTCATAACCTTGAGGTGTGGTGAATATCTTCAAAACATGTTTATCTCTTATTGTGGTGATAAGAGAGGATGGAGGCGAGAGAGAGAGAGAGAGAGAGAGAGAGAGAGAGAGATTTCACAACACATTCTTTTTATCATTATATCTCTCCCTCTCTCTCTCTCACTCACCACAAAAACAATATGTAAGCTTCCGTCACGCGCCTCTTCCTTTATTACAACTAAAACAATAACAACAACACCACAAAACCTAATCACCACCCAATCATTAGTGTCGGTCTGGTGGTGACATCTGGCGGCGGACTTAAGAGCCACCGGATGTCAACAAAACAAGGTGCAGCCATACCTGTAATTTGGACTGAAGGTTCTATTCACCTCATGATAACCCACAAACAATAGCCGGCTGGTTGGTGGGCCTGGGGTGGTTACCTTTATATAACGGACTGCATGGAGGGGAAAGTCCGTTATATCGAGGGTCAGATATATAAAAGCTCTACTTAACGGACTATATGGAGTGAGAGTCCGTTATATCGAGGGTCAGATATATAAAAGCGCTACTTAACGGACTATATGGAGTGAGAGTCCGTTATATCGAGGGTCAGATATATAAAACCTCTACTTAACGGACTATATGGAGTGAGAGTCCGTTATATCGAGGGTCAGATATATAAAACCTCTACTTAACGGACTATATGGAGAGGAGAGTCCGTTATAACGAGGACTTAGATCTAAAACTTATATTTAACGGATTATAAAGATATAAAAGTCCGTTATATGGAGGAATTCGTTAGATGTAAACCCCCCGCATCTCACGGATTATATGGAGAGAGAAATTCGTTATATAAAGTTCGTTATATAAAGGTTTCAATAGTAGGTGTTCCTCAGGGTAAGTTAGACTCCCTCGCTGTTTTTCCTCACTACTACCTGACGTGTTGACAAGAAAACCAAACCTAACATAACCTAACCTTTTTTATGTCTTACCTAACCTAACCCATTGTACAGTTATGGTCAGAATACCCTAGACAGCTCTCTCCATTATCTACCTGAGGGTCAATTGTTGTAGGAAGTTAGATTAGATTAGGTTAGGTTAGGTTAGGTTAGGGAGGTTAAGGTAGGTTAGGGAGGTTAAGGTAGGTTAGGGAGATTAGGTTAGGTTAGGGAGATTAGGTTAGGTCAGGGAGGTTAGGTTAGGTTAGGGAGGTTAGGTTAGGTTAGGGTACGTGAGGGAGATAAAGGTAGGGGGAGAGACATACTGACACCGGCGATGAATTATGTATGGGTGTAGGTGTAGGGGGGGGGCGCATGACAAGCTCTAGTGGCGGGAAATAGAGGATCAAGAACTATCACTGACACACACACATACACCATACATACATACATACATACACATAAGGACGGGAAAGACAAAGAAAAACAGAGAGGCAAACAGATAAGCAAAGAAACAGACAGATAGAACACATAGACACATAGAGCCAGACAGACAGACAGACATACAGACAGACAGAGACACGCATACAGACAGAAAGAGACACATACAGACGGAAAGAGACAGACAGAGCCAGGACGGTGAGGACCACAATTAACAGGAAGTTCCTCAATACTTGTTCCCATCGTTTCCACCCCTCCACACCTACCCTGGCTGTGTCCTGAGGTGTCCTGCTGTGTCCTGAGGTGACCTGCTGTGTCCTGAGGTGACCTGCTGTGTCTTGAGGTGACCTGCTGTGTCTTGAGGTGTCCTACTGTGTCTTGAGGTGTACTGCTGTGTCTTGAGGTGTCCTGCTGTGTCTTGAGGTGTCCTGCTGTGTCTTGAGGTGTACTGCTGTGTCTTGAGGTGACCTGCTGTGTCTTGAGGTGTCCTGCTGTGTCCTGAGGTGTACTGCTGTGTCTTGAGGTGTCCTGCTGTGTCCTGAGGTGACCTGCTGTGTTCTGAGATGACCTGCTGTGTCTTGAGGTGACCTGCTGTGTCCTGAGGTGTATTGCTGTGCCTTGAGGTGACCTGCTGTGTCTTGAGGTGTCCTGCTGTGCCTTGAGGTGTCCTTGCTTGCTGTGCCCTGGTGATGGTCGATGTGTCCTGCTGTGCCCTGGTGATGGTCGATGTGTCCTGCTGTGCCCTGGTGATGGTCGATGTGTCCTGCTGTTCCCTGGTGATGGTCGATGTGTCCTGCTGTGCCCTGGTGATGGTCGATGTGTCCTGCTGCTCGAAAAACGATGAAAAATAATAACAATGACTTCCAATAGACTTTTGTTATTGCTGTATTATTATTATTATTATTATTATCATTATTATTGAGTTAAAAATAAATAGAGATTATTATACTTCAACTGTTGTCACTAGGTGGTGGTACTGGGTGCTGGACCGGGGTACTGGGTGCTGGACCGGGGTACTGGGTGCTGGACCGGGGTGCTGGGTGCTGGACCGGGGTGCTGGGTGCTGGACCGGGGTGCTGCTGGAGGCTACTGGACCGGGCAGCATTCAGCTCCACCTGTAGCTGTACCAGGTAATCAAGGGCGAGGACAAGACGTTCCTCACAGGGCGCCTCGTAGTCACTGAAGAGCACCGCCACCGCCTCCTCCATCTGCTCGTGAGGGAACACCTGGTTGGTCTCATTACTCCGGTACAGGTAACCCCCGTAGGCCGCCACCACCACCAGCAGCGCCACCTTCAGGTATTTTAACACCTGCTGGTTTTGGGATAATTTTAACATTTTTAATTTAGTGTGATTTATTTATTCGATTAGTGAGAACGATTAGGTTCAGTGTTTGTGTTTAGAGAGTTGTTTAGTGTGTGTGTGTGTGTGTGTGTGTGTTTGTTGACACTTGGTGTAGTTGTATAATTTAAAGGTGTTGATGTGTTAGGTTAGGAGAGGAAGGTTGAGGGGGGGGATGTTGTTCTTCCCATAATCCCCTTCACCAAAACAAAGCGCCACGTATAACACCTCCTCCCGGGTGAGTTGTGGAGTGTTGTCAGTTGAAACGAACAATAATCAACGAAAAAAGCTGCCTTGCGACATCCAAAGGGGCATTATCAGGTCTCAGTGACGTCAGCAAACAGGTGGTGATGGTGGTGGGGGAGGGAGGTTGTGGGGGAGGGAGGTGCTTGGAAAAATAACACTGGGGTCCCACGTTACAGGCCACGTGAGCAGCCAGTGAAGAGGGAGGAAGTGGTGGAGGGAGGTGGGGGGGAGGGGGAGCTGTCAAACAACTGTAAGTTACACACACCCACACACACACACACACACACCAGCAGGAGGCTGACAGCAAGAAAGACTTGGGATATCTGAATCCTTAACAACAACAACAACCACAAGCAGCATTATAAACAGGTTTGATGGTGTCTGTTTTACGCCTCCCCCTCTTTACCCCCTTTCTCCCCCCCTCCCCCATCTTCCCCACCTTAGGCAGTTATTAGTTTTTTCGCCCCAACCACACACAACAGTCCACCAATCACGACGAAGAACGCAAACCTCTTCCCACCAATCACTCGAACCCAAGTTGTCATAATGTGCGCCAATTAGATCACTGCGTCACGACCTCTCTCACCAAGACAACCTGTGTCATCTTAGCACCAATCAGAGAGAGAGAAGTTGCCATTTCTCCACCAATGAGGAGAGAGCTAACTTCCTCACTATTTTCTTTTTTCGGGTCACGTGAAGGTTAGCCTATCCACCCCAGTCTACGTTACGTAACGTTACGTTAGGTAATGATAGATTAGGTTAGGTTACGGTTAGGTTACGGTTAGGTTAGGTTACGGTTAGGCTAGGTTACGGTTAGGTTAGGTTGCGTTTAAGTAAGGTTTTGTTAAGTTAGATAACTCTTCAAAAATAATTAACATAAGTTAGTATTTCATAAACAAATAAACTATAGTGTCAATGTTAACAATGAATGTTACACTGTACGTGACCCAACGCTGACATACCTGTCCGTACAACTACCTGACGTGCACCTGCCTGACGTGCACCTGCCTGACGTGCACCTGCCTGACGTGCACCTGCCTGACGTGCACCTGCCTGACGTACACCTGCCTGACGTGCACCTGCCTGACGTACACCTGCCTGACGTGCACCTGCCTGACGTACACCTGCCTGACGTGCACCTGCCTGACGTACACCTGTTTACATCATCTCATCAGATTTCTAGACAGGTATTGATGCCAGGCGCCAACCTCACTCTTAACTAAACCAAATATTATGGAAAATAATTCAGTCAGCCTAAACTTGGCGGGAGATTGGTGTAGTTGTCGTCCACCACCGAACACCTTCACGGCGAGTGTTGTGTTCTTGACGTCACAGCACAACAAATCCTTATATGAACCCGAGACGTTTTTGTTAACGTAAACAAAGTCTAATCAGGTCAATAGAAAGGATATTGTGTATTTTGTACTTGGTGTCTAATGTAGGAGGGAGTGAGGGAAGGAAGAAAGGGAGGGAGGGAAGGAAGGAAGAAAGGGAGGGAGGGAAGGGAAGGGAGGGAAGGGAAGGGAGGGAGAAGGAAGGGAGGAGGGAAGGAAGGAAGGAAGGAAGGGAGTGGGGGAAAGAAGAAAGGGAGGGAGGGAGGGAAGGAAGGAAGGGAGTGGGGAAGGAAGAAAGGGAGGGAGGGAAGGAAGGAAGGGAGTGGGGGAAGAAAGTGAGGGAGGGAAGGAATGGAGTGGGGGAAGGAAGAAAGTGAGGGAGGGAAGGAAGAAAGAAAGGGAAGGAAGGGAGCGAGGGAAGGTACAGTACAACACTTTGGACAAACGGCTGAGGTGTAGTGTTGCACAGCGGAATATTCCTACAGGCTGAAGATGGTGGAAGTTGTAGTGTTGTGAGCTGTAAACAAGGTTGTGGTTGTATACAGTGTTGTGAGCTGTAAACAAAGTTGTGGTTGTATACAGTGTTGTGAGCTGTAAACAAAGTTGTGGTTGTATACAGTCTTGTGAGCTGTAAACAAAGTTGTGGTTGTATACAGTGTTGTGAGCTGTAAACAAGGTTGTGGTTGTATACAGTGTTGTGAGCTGTAAACAAGGTTGTGGTTGTATACAGTGTTGTGAGCTGTAAACAAGGTTGTGGTTGTATACAGTGTTGTGAGCTGTAAACAAAGTTGTGGTTGTATACAGTGTTGTGAGCTGTAAACAAGGTTGTGGTTGTATACAGTGTTGTGAGGAGGGGCGAGCCATGTCAACAATGTGAAGGTCAGACATTAAACAAAAGCCAAGATGAAGATGCTGGTCCCTGGGTGTTTGTTGATGTCCTCAAGCTCTACCAAGGCTACTGACTAACCCCTCCCACCCTCTCATCTACCTCCTTCTCCTTCCCTTACTTCTCTTCCTCCATCCCCTCTCCTTCTAATCTCCTCCTTTGCTCCTCCTCCTTCCCCTCCCCTATGCCCAAGGGCAGATCCAGGGGGGGTCCTAGGGGTCCGGACCACCCTTTTTATCAGAAAATTCCAATAATTTACATTTAATGCAGTATTGTACTCAGGCTTTTTGTATAGTAAAAAGTAATTACTATTGACCTCAAAATATCTCCTAATATCAGGTGCATATGGCCATGATATTGGTCAAATTTCGGCCCCTGACCTTCAGTGTGTGTGGTATGGTCCGTATATGTTTGGTTTTGTAATCCAAAACGCAGTTAGCGCTCCTGTGTACACATCGTCATCAGCTGCTGGATGGGTGCGAGTCGTTGTCCATCCTGGGGAAAAATTATATTTACTTCTTAAAGACGATTACCAAGTCTTAGTTCATTATAATTCTTATCGAGATTGAGAACCAGTTTATTTTTCAGTTTATTTACTCTCAAGGTTAATGAGGTTATTGTTGGTGAACAGAACGGATGTTCTGCCCAGGTGTTGTAATTCCTGGTAATAAGGATTGGGGAGGTCACCGTAACGCATATATTCGTCTGTATGAGCGGGTACAGGTGGAAGAGGGGGTGTCAGGTGGGTCTGGGGGTGGGGTCGTCCTTCCTGCTCTCTGATTGGCTGGTGGTGTGACTTGGGCGGAGCTCAAGGATAAAATGATACCATGTAAAACTTCAACTTATTTTAGATAATAACACACACACACACACACACAGGGAGGTACTACCGCCTGGGAAGATATTGGAAGCATAATGTGTTGTCTAATGGTAGACCCTGCTGCCATATGGCATCACAAAAATTGTGACCAAGTCCCAGGTTGGTGAGCTGACTTTCTGCCTCATTTACACACAATTGCAGGGTCTCAGTTGTTTTTCTTACTTTTACAAAACAACATACATGTATAGTTTTCACTCTTGATTTTTTTTCAAATTTGTATTTATTTATGGGTCTTTATTATTATTATTATTACTATTGTTGTTGTTGTTGTTGTTGTTGTTGTTGTTGTTGTTGTTGTTGTTGTTGTTGTTGTTGTTGTTGTTGTTGTTGTTGTTGTTGTTGTTGTTGTTGTTGTTGTTGTTGTTGTTGTTTGTTGTTGTTGTTGTTGTTGTTGTTGTTGTTGTTGTTGTTTGTTGTTGTTGTTGTTGTTGTTGTTGTTGTTGTTGTTGTTGTTGTTGTTGTTGTTGTTGTTGTTGTTGTTGTTGTTGTTGTTTGTTGTTGTTGTTGTTGTTGTTGTTGCTTATGTTGTTGTTGTTGTTGTTGTTGTTGTTGTTGTTGTTGTTGTTGTTGTTGTTGTTGTTGTTGTTGTTGTTGTTGTTGTTGTTGTTGTTGTTGTTGTTGTTGTTGTTGTTGTTTGTTGTTGTTGTTGTTGTTGTTGTTGTTGCTGTTGTTGTTGTTGTTGTTGTTGTTGTTGTTATTTGTTGTTGTTGTTGTTTGTTGTTGTTGTTGTTGTTGTTGTTGTTGTTGTTGTTGTTGTTGTTGTTGTTGTTGTTGTTGTTGTTGTTTGTTTTTGTTGCTGTTGTTGTTGTTGTTGTTGTTTGTTGTTGTTGTTGTTGTTGTTGTTGTTGTTGTTGTTGTTGTTGTTGTTGTTGTTATGTTGTTGTTGTTGTTGTTGTTGTTGTTGTTGTTGTTGTTGTTGTTGTTGTTGTTGTTGCTGTTGTTGTTGTTGTTGTTGTTGTTGTTGTTGTTGTTGTTGTTGTTGTTGTTGTTGTTGTTAAACACACACATCACAATACTTAAATTTTTCTAAGGATAAAAAATAAAGTTCGAAATCTCTCAGACTCAAAGATGCCGTCACAGTCTCGCTAAGACTCTACATTAGCTTAGATATTTTCTCTCATTTGTGAGGTAAGAATCTTTGCAAGTTCCGACCCTGAGTTTAACCCTTTGAGTATGATGATTTAACCCTTTGAGTATGATGATTTAACCCTTTGAGTATGATGATTTAACCTTTGAGTATGATGATTAACCCTTTGAGTACGATAACTTAGTCCCTTGAGTACGATGGTTCAGTCCCTTGAATAAGTTATTGTACTCAAAGGATTAAATATTAGTACTCAAAACGTTGTCATAGTACTGAAGGGGTTAAGTCATTGTATTCAAGGGTTGGTATCGTACTCAAAGGGTGTCATAGTACTGTAGGACTTAAATCATCGTACTCAAATGGCTGTGTTCGGATTCAAAGGTCAAGTTATCGTACTCAAGTAACTAACGTCACCTGGTCAACACAGGTTCTTGGCTACCCGGACTGAACCATGTTACCTGAGAACCTTGGTTGGAACCTCTATGGTGGTATTTTTTATCAGTTATATGTATGGCTGAGTCATTACAC